TGAGTATACTGATCTCTAAAGTCATGTCTGAATATACTGAATTCTAGAGTTATATCTGAACTCTAAAGTCTGAATCTGATTCGAGCATCTTAACTAAGTCTGATTACTGATTTCTGAGCATAGACAAAGTAATATGTTTATAACTGAAAACTGAATCAGCACTTACCTGGAGTCGGCGAGGCGAGAGCGTGACAGTTCAGGTTTTTCTGAAAATTACTGACTGAAAACTTTTCAGAGACGTAGAAACGTGCTCTGATACCAATTGTAACATCCCGACTTTTTAATATTATCAGAGTACGCGATTTCTCGCAATTTTCTGAATAAATAAATAAAATATTTACTTTGCGAAAACTGATTCGGGATGCTACCGTGAAAAACTTGATTTTTCTGAAAATCGTTAAAATTTTAAACTGATAAATAAAAACGGTTTTAATGTCTTATCCGACTCACATCGGATCAAAAGCTGAAAATAAGTACTGAAAGTTTAGCGGCACAAAAGCGTGGCAAAACATATATATACATATCCACAAAAATATCCTGAACTGCCCGCCAGCTCACTCCTCGTCCCCGACCCTGCGACCTAAAAAACATGAAATGCGTGGGGGCGTGAGCACTAAAACACTTGTGCTCCGCAGAAACTCATACTAATGTAAACATTGAAAATAATAACAATATCATGATCTTAGCATATATAACTGAACTGAAACTGAAACTGAAATCTGATACCGGTCTGATCTCGCGACATAAGTCACGTAACAGATAACTCAACATCTGTCGGCACAAACTAATACTGAAATCTGTCGGCACAAACTAATACCGGACCATGTGCACACTCTAGTGGGTAGATTAGGCCACTAGAACCCAGAATGGACCGGCGACCATTCCGAGCGGATACTGAATATACATACCTCGAACATGGTAGCGTAATTATAAACAATGTAGTACTTAGTCTGAGTCCCCACCTGAATTGCTGAAACTGAATGGTAGTGCGGATGCCTGATTAAACTGAAAATAATATAAACAATTACTATTGACTATGCTCAGACTGATAAATTAACTGATTAATTATGTTAAGATGCTCTACTGAACCTGACATGACATTCGGACTTAATCGGTATAACTGAAACCGGTTAAGTACAAAACTGAACTGACACTAATTAACTGAACTGAAATTGACCCGGAAATTTAACTGAAAATGATACTGAAATTGCAAACCGGGACTGAAACTGACAAGTACTGACTGAACCAGCCTAGCCGGTCTGAACCGGTCTGGACCGGACTGCCGGTCCGCTGAACCGGGCAGTCGGGCTGGCTCGGCTGGCAGCCTGCCAGGTGCTGCGCACGCAGGC